CTCAGTGTGTTGCCTGGTTTGAAATGTGCAGGGATGCCGTGTTTGTTGAAAATCCTCCTGAGCTTTTCAGCCACCCCTGCAACATAAGGGATGACAACGCTCTTACATTTGTTCTCTTCCCTGTCAGTTGTAGCAGTGCTCTTCGATCTTCTCATAGATTTCAAGAAAGCCCAGTTAGGATATCCATATGTTTTGAGGGAAACCTTGATATGTTTGTGTTCCACTGGTGCCCTGTGCTTTTCACAGATGAGAGCTGGTTCCATGGATGGAGGCATATCCATGGAGGGACGCACAGATCTCTACAGGATAGACAACAGCACCATAATACACCATACCGTATATTAAACATATTCAAGAGTGGTTTTATGAGCACTAACTTGAAGTCAGATGCCTTCTGTGGCCTCCTCATTCAGCAAATTTGAACACTGTTGAACGTTTTGGAAGGTTCTTGTCACAACACAGCAGGAGAAGGACGACCCAAATGCAGGCTGCCAGCAAGTGGACCCCTCACAGAGGAATTTATTGAGGGACAGAGAGGCAGGATAGCTCACACAGACAGATAACCATGAGGCCTAAGAGACGCTAATATACATGAGTAACTGAGGAGTAAACACAAGACTGGCGTGGCTGGTCAACAAGGAGGTAGGAACAAGAGGTAAGACTAACAAGCTTCAGGCTCGGCTGATTAGCAGCCACAGGCAAGGGAAACACAGGTAACAAACGAACAGGGCGGGGCTAGACACGACAGTTATGGCGCTCATGACATAAGTGGGAAATACATCTTCAAAGAACTAGTCAAATTTAATCTTAAAACTGATAAAATGCTCAAATGTTCACACAGTTTAGATCCTGTTATTAAATTCATTATTATTATTATTAGTTTTTAGGTATGTTATAGATATAGGAATCGAAATAGACATGTATAAGGGTACGATCACGTGTGTGTATGCCACATATATAATACCGATTTGTCACATTACTAATTATTATTACTGATGTTGTTATAATCTTTGTTGTTTGATGTTCTTAAGTAATGAGTGTTATATTTCTTATGGTTGTTTGTATTTTCTATTCCCCTACACTTAATTTTTTCCATCCCACCTACATTATTAGTGTTATTATTTCTATATACCTTTGTTTTCTTTTTTCCCTTTTTTTTTCTCTCTCCCCCTCTCCCCATGGTGATTAATGTCTGTTATCGTTACGATCGTTGTATCTGTATCCCCCCGTTTTTTTTTTTTTTTTTTTTTTTTCCACGGGACGGGTGAGTTCGGAGCGGCCACAATCTTTGCTCTTGAATTTAATGTAAAATAAAGTTGTCCTCCGAAGAGGTGGTGGGCAATAAAAAAAATAAAATAAAAAAAAAAGAATTCAATCTGCCACCCCATGCAGGCCTGCGTGGACAACTGACTCACTGATGGACTTCGGCTTTGACCTTGACCTCAGTATTACAATATAATTTTTAATAAATATACATGACTTTACATATACATGTAAAACGGCTATTTGGCAATTGTAGTTTAATTCCAGAAAATATTTTAATTACAGCAGTGCAGTTCATTAAATTGCCATACATTGACACCATTCTGCACAAAAAAAAATTAGTTTATCAAGTAATTTCCAGACTAATTTCATGGCAGTGGTCTGTCACGTTCACGTCCAGGGAGGAGGCGAGGAATAATGGTTGGGAGACGAGGGTCAGCAAAATAAGGGGTTTTAATGGGGTTTAAAACAACAAAAGGGAGCAGACCAGGGAATGACAGGGAAAACTAAGCTCAAGACATAAACTAACAAGACACAAACTTAGCGAACATTAATGACAAGTCTGGCAAGTAAAGGTAAGACACGGACTTAAATACTAAGAAACTAATTAAGAAACACAAAACAGCTTGAGAGAAGCACAGATTCCACACATGGGTAATTAGGGGCGTGGCACACATGAGGAATGCAGGGCTGGGCGTGACAGTGGTCAATTTGGGTTGACCCATACATGTTTTTTTTACGTCTCAATTATACTCTCCTTAGTAGTATTTAGAAAGTACAGTCTATTGATTATGAATACACAATATATGAATATAGAATTAACATTGTCTAACACCAATAACTGTTTTTTTTTTTTTAATTAGGAACGGATAGATTAAGTTTTGCTTTGGTCCGATTTCAGAACTGTTAACTAATTATCTGATTTCAGTTTCATTCACAACATTTGTGGCTTAAGAGCACCTAATTTAAAATGAAATATGTCTATTCCCCTGAGCTACCATAATATGTCACTGGCGTATGATTTATCTGTAGGACATTTACAGAGCTCCAGAGTGCGACCAAGTTGTTTACACATGCGACCAAAAATCAGTCGAGTGGGACTTTTTTTTTTTCCTTCGCAAGTCTATCTGTCTTTTTTTTTCTTCAGGGTCAGAGGCAATCAAAGGCAGAGAAGGGGCGGGCCTTCGTTACTTTACACCAGTGTTTCTGAAGCTATACGTTTACGAATGTTTTAAAAAGCTATATTATTATTGATTATAAAATCGTTTTAATTTACCGTGATAGTATAATCGACACGTTTTATTATATTATTAATATACATTTAACTCGATGGCGATATGTTGTATAACCGTGTATTTAGTTTGGTAGCAACATGTTTGCTTAACGTGCAGGATTATAATTATTATTACCCTGATAAATCGATATTAGGGATTTTGATTTACCATTATGTGCATTTAATTGCAGACCTAATTACATTGCACGTAATCCAGACACACGTATACCTTTTTCAAAACTTTCGTAATCGCTGTTTTATTGATATAACCGCTAGTTGCAGAATCGAGCTAAATATAGGCTACATCAATGTAATAAAACACGTCGGTTACATAATCTAGCTAAATGTAAACAAATTTTTAAATAATTCATTTTTATAAACATTTTTTAAAACATTAGTTGATGTAGGCCTATTTTATTAACGCTTGCTGCCGCTATATTGAGTTAAATATACATTAATAATCTAATACAACATGTCGGTTACACTATCAAGCTAAATGCAAGCAATAATAAAACACGTTTAAAACTTTCGTAAATGTAGTTTCAGAAACGCATCCTGTGTCATGACAAGTCTGTAACCACCAGAGTGTCCGCCCTCCCCGCAGCAGTTCGGCGTCTGTCAGCGGCGAACCGAAGCTAAAAGAAGTATCTTGGAGCAGCACGCACTTTTGAGTCATCCGAGTTTTTGAAATTTTTAGCTTGTTAAGCAGTTTGCACTTTTAAAGTTTTGTTAAAAAATAATGAAGTTTTTCAGTTTTTTTTTTTGTTTGTACTGTGATTCAAATAAAGACAAACATTTACTGCACCTTTATTCATGCTTAAAGTCATTTGCATAACTATCATCTGAGGCCTGTTCAGTCCCATGGGAGGGTGACATCGTGGATGTGACTTTGTGAGTGCAGCCTTCAATCTGTCACCCCATGCAGGCCAACTGACTCACTGAGGGACTTTGGCTTTGACCTTGACCTCAGTTTACACTTTCCCACTTAGGTCAGTTTGCCCAGTGTGGGGGTGGGGGGGTTGGCCAGCCTTTTGACCTTGGACCCCCAGAGGTTTTTCCCTCCCTACACTGTAAAAAATAAGAAGTTAAGACAACTTAAAATTTCAAGGCAACTTACTGCACTAGATTTTTGAGTTTTCAGGGCAACTCAAACTTCTGAGTTTTTAAGAAAACCACATATTGCTACCTAGTAATTATTTTTGTTCAGATAATTTATCTTTCAAATCTATAAAAACTTTTAATTTTAAGTTTTACGCACCAATAATTCCTAACAACAAAAGTTATTCCAACCTATTGTCTTTTCTTAAGACTTATCTTTCACATGTGTAAAGACTTTAAAATGTGAGTTTAGCATATTCACCCATTGCAGTGCCCAGGGGTACAGAAACAGAGCCCAAAGATGAGCTGGGCTGGGCTAGAACTGGCAGTCTTTGGGTCAGAGGTACAGAGGTTTATCCCACTTAGGTATATGCTGCCTACTCTGGACTGGGACGTGGACAAACAGTTATAAAACTGTAAACAGTGTTTTTGTGTTAGCACTTTATTCAGCTTATATTCCATACACTGGAGCGTGTGGCTCTGTGAGCTAAGCCTCTCTCCTCATGCAGTAAAGGTCACCAGTTCATGCCCAGCATCAGCACATGTGGGGGCCCTTGAGCAAGGCCTGTGACCCCCAGCTCCCCGAAGGCACCACAACAGGTAGCTGCCCTTCACAGTCAAGTTTGCTCTCATTCCCCACAGGGATTCTCAAAGCATGTCTGCTGTCATTTATTACTATCAAATTTAAAATAAACAAACTAACTCAACTGTTTTGTTATCTTCATTTATAATAATCAGTTGGCATATATTTTGCAGTTTTGAATTCTTAGCATGTTTAATTAAAATTTTCAAGTTTTTACGCATATGAAAGATAAATCATCTGAACCAAAGTGAATAAGGCGGCACAACTTTTGATGTTTGTAATTCTTAGTATGTAAAACAAAAAATCAGAAGTTATAGATATGAAATGTAGATTACCTGAATAAAAAATAATTAGTTGTCACAACAATAAGTGGTTTTCTTCAAAACTTTACAGTTTGAGCCCTCAAACCTCAAAAATCTAGTGCAGTTGCCTTGAAATTTTTGGTTGTCTTAACTTTTTCTTTTACATTGTACTTGGGAGTTTTTGGTTCCTCTCCTCTGTTGTCATCTAGCTTGCTTTCTTTTTTTGTTTGTTTGTTTGTTTCTTTCTTTCTTTCTTTCTTTCTTTCTTTTATTTGTCTTTCCTCTTTGTGAAAGGCGCTATATAGAAATAAACTGAAGTAAACTGTTTTCTGCACCTGAAATCTGCACATTGTTTTCATGGAATTCGACTCACCACAGCTGTTTTGACAGTTTTAACTGAAATGTGGATGGTTACAAGCAATGTTATTGACATTTTCATCAGGCTATAAAGGTCATTATATAAAAAACAGAACCACCCGTGTATATTTCATGCTGTATATTTTATTATAATACAAAATTGCGAAGTAGCATATTTACATGTCAGACAGCTGGTGACGCAGTGGGTGTGAAGTCCAGTCATTCTTATTGCATTCCTGAGGAACATGGAAACCAGGGATCTCCTGTGTTATGATTGACTCCTCAGCTTCCTTTTCACCATGATGGGTAACTATAGAAGAGAGGAGCCCAGAAATGTAAATATGTACGACTCAGAGGAAAAGGTCATCTCACTCTACAAGAGCAACATCTCCTGCAGGTGCTATTCAGAAAGGACAGATTTCTACACAGTAAGTCTTTCCATCCCCCTCAGTAACTGACTGATTTCCAAGATTAGATAAGGATAGATAGACAGACTTTATGGACAAAAGTATTGGGACACACCTCTTAATCAGTGAATCAGGTCTTTCATTCCGACAGTCATGTTGCGTGAAGCAGTAAAGGGGACAGGGAGGCTACATGAATGATTCCAGAGACGAGGTACTTGCCCAGATAACCAGAAAGCACAGCAGTGCTTTAAAGAAGCTGACCAATGAGAAGCTGGATGCTAGCCATGCGGCAGAGAGCTCTTTGTATGGAGGAGGGGTCGTGCAGCAGGCCTGATTCGCAGAGACATCAGTGAACGTGGGACTCACCGGCGTGACACACTCTGTGACAGAAAGCAAATAGCAAACCTGGTCATTTAAAAAAAAAAAACTTTGTCCAAGGTTATTTTTTCAGTTTAGTCATTTTTGTTCGACACACCAAACTTCACTCTGAGGAAGGTGACTTGCAGTAATAATTAAAAAATTCTTTAGTGAATTTAGAATAAACCAGGCTCTCTTTCCATAATTTAAAAGCAGAACACTGGTTTACTTGCTAATAAAACATTACCAAATTTAAATGAATAATGAGTAGCGGTCAAAACTGTCAGAAAAAATTGTTGGGGATGGGGATGATTAAGGTTGTTGGGGGCGGGGGGACCTCCTCAGAAGATGTCGCCCTTCATTTCTGTTGCCCATCTTGTTCTAGGCAGGATCCCCCACCCTGAATAATCATTATGCATTTAAAACAATTCTCCTTCCATCTGATTTCCAGCCCATCCTGTGCAGGATCTTCCTGAACCTGAAGAAGGAGACGCTGTGGAAGGCATTTGTCAATGCTGGCAGTTTAGAGAGACCAAATCACTGAACCTGTCTGAGCACACAGTGGAAGCCCTCATAACAAGGAAAAATGCATGCACAGAATTGCAGAGGGGAAGGTGCACAGACAGAGCCATCATGTCATCTACTATGACAGTACTATTATTAAGGCCAGTGTTATGGCTACTGCCATGCAATTCATTGTGTATGATCTAGAGTGATATCAATATCTATGTTATGCAGCTGTTACCATGTTAGTCAGCTGGGTTAAGATACACGAAAGCTGACAGTGTTAGTATGGTTTTTTTTTTCACTGCATACAGTGTTAGTATGGTTTTTTTTTTCACTGCATACGCTCTTTGTGTCAATCATATGGTTGCACAGATTAGTTAAGACACTATCTCATAAAAGGCATAAAATGCTGAAACAGGCATACCCATTAATTTTGCATTTATTATTATTATTATTATTATTATTATTATTATTTATATTCGCACTGACCCCGGCATAAAGCACGTTAATACAATTTGGAGATAAGTGTGTTCTGAGTTACGTGGTGCAACACTATTTTAGCCATAAAGAGACCCAGACGTTTTAAAAAATATTGAGCAACAAAATGTAACAAATTTATTTTTCTTCGTGAAAATAACAGCGTTAATATACATCTGATATAAACATATAATGTAACAATTAAGCGTTATAGTGCCAAGTTCGTGTCTGTTGTTTTGAACTTCTGAATTGATATTGACATGCGTGAGTCTAGGTATTATAGGTATACCCGTTTTCAGATCCGCGACTATTTTGTTTGTTTGTGTTGTATATCTGTATTTTAACAAAATACAATGTCGTGTGATATGTTACATGCGTTTTATGCGTTTACAGAAACAGAAACGGTCGTTGTCACACTCTACAAAAAAGAGTTTCCCTTCCGCTGTTTTCAGTGGTGCAATCTCCCGGCAGGGATGCCTGTTTCGGCATAACACATGTCAATGGCAAATTCGGCCATAAAGGGGAAATTCACATACATAGGCTGCAAACTACAAGTTTAAATCTCGAAATATTTTTACATTAAAGTCATAAGCGAAATATTATGACTTTATTCTCGAAATCGACCATTCTACTATTTTGCTTTATCAATGCCCTAACGCGCCATCGTATATCTAAAAGTAGAACGTTTATAATTTAACCCGACTCGAACGCAAATATCAATAAAGACAAAATGATGTCTAGCCCACTTTACATGCTTAAAACTTACCCGTCCTCAAATTACCCGAATGTTATTAAAATGCATTTGTTTGACTCGTATCCGCGGACCCATCAGCGGGCGCATCACTGGTGTGTCAAGAAGAAGAATTTCGCTGGCGCCGCTGTGAACAATCCTATAGGCAGATAAGTTTATTTTCGGCAAATATGAACAACTTTTTTGTTTTATAAATAACGGAATATTAATCGCATACACACACACAGTTTCTGTTTACACGGTGTAGAGCTGCACAATATTGGGGAAGTGTGTGTGTGTGTATATATATATGTGTGTGTGTGTGTACATGCATACATATATATATAACGATGTGATCACACACACCCCCCCCCCCCAATATTGTGCAGCACTACACTGTGAACAGAGAAAATGCAACACTGTATGGCTTTATTCTAACAGACATACTTTATCGTTAGGTCAAACTTGGATGATGTCCTTTTCTTTGTTGTAGTAACATAAATTAGCTTATCAGACATAAGGGGAAATTATGTTGACAGTTGAATCCACCATGGCTTGGTATAGCCTACATAGACTTTACGTTTACTTACATCGCTTGCACCTTCAAAGAACAACGAGACAGATCTTTGTTCTTTTGCGGGTTGCGCTTTTTGCCGTATTGCATACCGCTTTGCAGGTTCGTGTGACCGAAGCTGCATCCGGCACAATATAAGGCTGTACAACGGCGGAATACAATCACAAATGCGGCAAGTATAGATCTGATATTCTTGAATAAAATATTTTAGAAAGTGACATCGGTGTTTAGGTTATTTGTCCTTCGTTAAATGGGTAGGTCATCGTGGAAGTGAAAATTTTTAAAAACGTGTACAGCATAGGTTAATAGGAATGCGTGCACTCTGTCGATCTCTACCTACAAACGAGACAAAGCGGAACAGTGGGAGCGCGTGTGTACAGGCTGGGGGTCGCGCGCGCGTGTGAGTGCACTGCTACCTGCAGCAAACACATGCTATGAGTACTTCCCGATGGTCGACACGATTTGACGAGTTCAAACACCACGGTGTCCAACCCTATTTAGTTCTCAAAGTTTTTTTCCCCACAAAAGTCGGGCGGTTTGAGACGGATCAGGGTCCCTATTTAACTGGGTGGAACGTGTCCCCCACCTTCTGCGCCTCTGCATGCTGCACTATTTCAGGGCATAAGCTGCAAAAATGCAGAGGATGTAGGCGACAGTCGATTTTGGAACCCTTCTGTGTAAACAAAGCCTTATTGTGTGCATTTTGAGCTTACATAGTGAACATCGAAGCACATGCATTACCTGACACATTTAACTCGAGCGAGAAGTCTTCATTCCTCCCTCCAACGAATGCTCCGAGGTGGCACAGATACCTCCCAGAGTCTTCAGGCTGAAGCCAAGGAAGGAACAATCCGCCACTGCTGTCCATACTGACATCTCGGGAGTAGCCATATCTTTTCGGAACAACTCCGTGGCTCTTCCTGATGATGCCGGACTGATTTGTGTCATTGATCTACAGAGAGGAAATGCTGGTAACTTGACAAGGCACAGCTACTTAGTAATAACTCAGTTACTACTGAAGCTCAAATCTTGAAAATGTAATGAACAAATATAGTCGCTATTTGAGACAAATGATGCATCACGATTCATTAATGATGAACAAACATTAATTAGATTAGTATTTCACTTGTGTTGTTCATTACTTGTTCCTAAAGTAGTTCCTTCAGTAGTTCACAAAGGCTTACAGAATTACCAGATATAGCAACGAATATAGCCTAATGACTGCTTGAGATTAATTAATGATGAATTAACATGAGATCAGTAGTTATAGTTTCTGGTTAAATAATACGTAAGTGATATCTTAATACTACATTATTTGTGTCCAGTCCAGTAAAGTGTTACTGAAATATTTTGATCCTGTATTAATGGGTATATGTTTTATCATTCACATTGGTTATATAACATTTTGGTTATATTTTGGGGCTAATCACAAGGCTATATTTTTTTGGGCACATTTGGGTACATATGAGATCACAGTTGAGATATGAATGACAAGATTTGAATTTTGAAATTCCATTATAATAAAATTTAGCATTAGTAATATATCAATAAAAAGAAGTAAATTCTAATGAGACAGACAGACAGACAGGTACCTTGTACCAGATGATAACCCGATACTCGCTGGTTTTATGAGTCTTGCCGCATTGTATGGTAATATTGGAATTGCACTGCCCCGTAATTAACTCCGGTTGTGTTGGCATCGATAACATCGGAGAGATGTGCATAACCATGACTGAAAAATAGGCAATTCTTGTAGCTGTGAAGAAATGAAAAGTGTATGTCTGTGCTAAATACGAAGTCCGTTAAGCAAAATTAACTACTTTCTGTTGCCATTTATGCAAATTTCCGTATAAATGAAACAAATGTTAATTTCGCAATCCTACAAAGCATTTAGCAATGAGTATTGGTACCGTATTTATATCAAATAATAAATATCCGTGTAATCATGTACTATCACATTCTATTGTTGTCTTATTCATTTAACATGTTCCTGTTCTGTAGTTCATTCGGACTGTGTAATTTAAAATATAAAAGTATTCAATGATCAATAGTGTCTAATGTTACCATAAAACGGCATGACTAGACTTACTCCAGAAACAGATAACATCACGTAGAAACATCCTCCCAACCACGTCCGTCTTGAAATCTTGAAACGAGACAATCCAAAATAATTAAGCGCTGCTGTTTTATAGGTATTGTTCTCTTTTGGGACTCGATGCCCATCCAGCTTTTAAAACAAACCAGTGGTTGCCGTGTTTCACTGTTAGTCACTTAAAACCTAGTAAGTATAGCTATCCCGATAAAGTCGCTTTAGTGAACAGCTGTGGATTGGCTGTTAGCCTCCTGTTTCACACACCTACTTTTTATTTTGACTCATTTTCGTTTCAGTTTGACTTCATTGCAATACTGATCCTCTTTCCTGTAGACTACATATTGTGTTTGCCCGCCTCCTCTGCCAATATATACAGCTCCGGAAAAAACTGAGACCACAACAGATTTTTTCATTTCATTAATTTCTTAATTTATGGGTGTGTGTCTGTGAATATATATATATATATAAATATAAATATATATATATATAAATATATTTATATTTATATATATATATTCACAGACACACATTTATATAAATTACATATATATATGTAAACCTCTGGGATACTGATCTGGGCTGCGTTTCCCAAAAGCATCGTAACTTAAGTAGCACTTGAAAATCTTCGTAGATCTACGAGTACTCTGGAGTAATCGTATAGCCTTAAGTGCATCGTAAGGAGACAGAGTTATGAGGGCACCTGCTGGACAGCCGGCAAATTGCACCTAAAATTTACTTCTCTTCAAAGTAATTTTTCATTTTATTTGTACGTATATTTTTATTCATTTCTATTTTCTACTCATTACACAATTCACTATAGAAATAACGAATCTTTCGAGGGTAGTACAAATGTATTTACTAGAAAATATTTAATGTGCTTTAAAGATGACACGACTAAAGGACGAACTCAAAAAAATGTGTCAATGACTTGCTGGCGTGCATGAAACCCAGCCATGTATTGAACATGTCTTGGTGTATCATCATGAAGACTCATCTCAACTTCATTCTCTTCCTCTACCTCTTCATCTTCCTTCCTGATGTCCAAGGGCACTCTTGTCCTCACTGCAATGTTGTGCAACATAGCTGTTACTGTTATTACAGCACAGGACTTTTGTGGCACAAAGAGAAGATCACCACTGGACTTGTGAATAGCCTGAAAGTGTAGCTTCCACCTTCCTAAAGTGCGCTCCACAATTCTTCGGGCAACACGGTGAGCCTCGTTGAAATGTGCCTCATTGTTACTGACAGGATTAGCAACAGGGGTGAACAGATATGGCCTCAATGGATATCCGCTGTCACCAAGCAGCCTCCACTGTCCTTTTGAGTTTTGGGCCTCTTGACCCACAGATGAGTCGGTAAAGATATAGGAGTCATGTGTGCTCCCAGGCCACCTTGCAACAACGTCTGTGATTAAACACTTATGATCACAGATTACTTGGCAGTTGATTGCTGGATATCCTTTGCGGCATTTATATGTATGGCCATCCACATAAGGCATACTGATGGGAATCAAAGTACTATCAATGACTCCAATGACTTGTGGTATATGGTAATGTGTTAAAAAATACTCCTGAATGTTTGACATGGCCTGTCTTGACGCTGGAAATTGGATGTGTTCAGCCGCAAGTGAAAGCAGTGCATAGGTGACTGCTTGTACAGCTCTGGACACAGATGGTTTACTTATTCCAAGTCCATCTCCAAGTACCTGAAGAAAATTGCCAGTTGCATAATATCTCAGAGCAGCTAAGAGTTGCACATCAGGCGAAGATAATTAGGCTAAAGTTTTCAAAAATAAATGTAAGAGCTTATTTATTTCTTTATTTATTTTGATGTGAGATAAGCAATTGTTGATAAAGAAATTGATAAATAATTTTACTTAAATAATTAAGGTTTCATATAAATATCGAAAATGATGCTGCTGTCATTTCTGGCAAGGACTGTTAGACTTTGTTTTATGCGAGATTGGAGCAAGACAGTGTTTTTACAGAATGACATTTCCAGTTAATTTATGTTTTTAACTTGCTCAAGAAGAAATTACAGGACTTTTTATGTTATTCGAGTTGAATATACATTCACACAAGTAGAAGAAGAAACGGAAATCAAAACTTAGATGGATTGCTATAACAGCATGTGCAACAATAACGAGCCATTCTACAGTGTGACATATCAGCACTTGGCCAAGGGATAGCGTCTCCTAAGTAGCACTTAAAGCAGGGCTACATGCAATTGTGTTAAGTGCATTTTTGGGAAACGCACGTGAAACAATAACGAACGTTCACAAAATGACTCGTAGAAAACGCTCTTAAGCACTAAGACCAATCGTTATCCGGAAACGCAGCCCTGGTCAGTTAAGTAGCAGAGGGAGTTGTTAATCAGTTTCAGCTGCTTTGGTGTTAATGAAATTAAAACCCGTGAGATGACCCCCCAGACAGGAATGGTGGAGGCCACTGACATTTTTCCCTCCTCATCTTTTCTAACTGTTTTTCACTGGTTTTGCATTTGGCTACGGTCAGTGTCACTACTGGTAGCATGAGGTGATACCTGGACCCTACAGAGGTTGCACAGGTAGTCCAACTCCTCCAGGATGGCGCATATTGATATGTCATTGCCAGAAGGTTTACTGTGTCTCCCAGCACAGTCTCAAGGGCATGGAGGAGATTCCAGAAGACAGGCAGTTACTATAGGAGAGCTGGACAGGGCTGTAGAAGGTCCTTAACCCATCAGCAGGACCAGTATCTGCTCCTTTGTGCAAGGAGGAACAGGATGAGCACTGCCAGAGCCCTGCAAAATGACCTCCAGCAGGTCACTGGTGTGAATGTCTCTGACCAAACAATCAGAAACAGACTTCATGAGGGTGGCTTGCAGGTCAGGCGTTCTCTAGGGGGCCCTGTGCTCACTGCCCAGCGCTGTAGCGCTTGATCGGCATTTGCCATAGAATATCAGAATTGGCTTTTCACAGATGAGAGCAGGTTCACCCTGAGCACATGTGACAGACGTGAAAGGGTCTGGAGAAGCCGTGGAGAACATTATGCTGCCTGTAACATTGTTCAGCAAGACCGGTTTGGTGGGGGGTCAGTGAAGGTCTGGGGAGGCATATCCATGGAGGGACACACAGACCTCTACAGGCTAGACGACAGCACCTTGAATGCCATTAGGTATCGAGATGAAATCCTTGGACCCATTGTCACACTCTACGCTGGTGCAGTGGGTCCTGGGTTCCTCCTGGTGCATGACAATGCCCAGCCTCATGTGGCGAGAGTATGCAGGCAGTTCCTGGCGGATGAAGGAATTGATACCGTTGACTGGGCCCAGAGCATGTGAGCGGAGTGGAGCGGTGATAATTTCCGCTCCTCGCTCACGAGGCTGTTGGCTCCGTCCGCTCCTCCGCTCAACACCGCTCCTCGCTCCTCTAAAATTTCCTCCCACTCCAGTCAAATCGCTCCACGATCGCTCCAGTGGCCTTAGGGCGGGATGTTAATTTTCTTTGTCTAAAATAAATGACTGCACTAAAATAAATCACAGATTTGATTCACACAGCCTGAGTCTGGTGAAGCTTGCTATGAGCACCAACTGCCTGACGATGTTCTACACCTTTTTGCCACATCAACTGCTTACTCATTTAAGTCAGCTCCCTCAGTTGCTGAACCTAACGTATAGAGAAGCTTTACCAAAATGATGATGACCCACTCTTTCTGTGAGCCAGCACAGCCTGTTTGTATGTGGAGGGGCATCATTTTCTTACAATGCTATTGAGTTTTTTTCTATTGTCCTTTTTTGGTCCATTTAGATTGTTAATGTAGATTTTATACAAAAAATGTTATGGTTAAAAATGTTCACTTGTTTACTGAAACTTAAAATAATAATACTAAATAATTAAATAAATAACTCCACCAGAGTGTCTCTTTGGGGTCACTTTTGCCGGTCCCAAGTCCGGATAAAGGAGGAGGGTTGGAATTGTGATACATAAAAAAAACAAGAATAAAGGTCATTTGTAGTTCTAAACGTAGTTAGGCTGTTTTTTTTTTTTTTTTTTTTACCACTTTGTCTCTCCTACGACATTATTCCTCTCCATTTTAATGAACATGCATGTTATGCAAATAAGACGATGACGTCATTTAGCGACTTCTAGCGACTTTTGTAACGGCCAATAGCGACATCTACAATGTAAAATGGCGGAATGTCACTTTTCGGTGAGCTGGAGGAATTTGACATTTGGTTAACTGCTACCCAGATTTACTGTACTTCAATTTTTTTTCGTGTTAACCTTTGTCCTGTGTTAGTTTCCTGTTCCTATCTCTTATGTTAGACGGGTCGAGAATTAAATAAATAAACTGAACTGGTCTCATCTTGCCCTACATGTCTGGGCATGCCTTGCCTAGTGAAAGTTTTTATTTATTTATTTTCTTTAAATAGAGGTTCCTGGTGCAGTAAAAAAAAAAATTATGTGGTGCTTTTATGCATTTTAAACTTACAAAGGTAGATTAGGCTAGGCTATGATGTTTCTTAGGTTAGGTGTACTATACTAAAATGCATTTTCGCCTTACAATAGGTTTATCAGAACATAATCGCGTCGTAACCTAGGAGAGGCTGTATACATAAATTACCAAAGGGGCATCCCCCCACTTTCTGTCAACTACCAAAACTATTTTGGAATACCAAAACTTACCTTTACAAAGAAAAATCATTTTACTTGGTAGGAACATACAATAAGCAAACAAATGAATACAAACCACATTGTACAGCCCTGCTTTCAGACGTCCTTTATCTGGCACTTTGATTTGTGCATGACTATTGCTGATGCTATCATCATCACGTATGCTGCTGTTACTCCACCCAAAATCATCACCAGGGTGTCCCGCTGACCAAGTTCTCTCAACAGGAAGCCTTCAGTATGGGATTTTTCTACTTCTTGGCAACCTGGACACAAACCATAAACTTAAAATGAAAACATGAGCCAGGCTAAGTTTACAAAGAACAACACTGCCATATAAAAAGAACAAACTTCTGCCCCTCCGAGCACTGAATTTACCTTCGGGATGGAAAGTGTAATCAACTTCCTGAATGCGGTGGCCGACAGGAGGCCAAAGTGTGCAGCGGTATGTAGCGCAGACACTTATAGCTGAACTTGGGAGGCAGAGAGAGAGATCCTCCCCGATCTGATAATGGTGCTCAGCTGACATGAAGAGTGCAGTCTCATTTGTACGCAGATTTTTAAGAACCAACCCAGTCAAACTCTCATCTCCGCCCTCCACCTGCCAACAAAGACAACGTCTGTTTTTTTTCTTAATTCCTCAAGTGGTTCGTAACCAAACAAAATACAAGACTTTTGTCTATTTTTGCCTAATCACACACACACACACATATATATATATATATATACATATATATATATATATATATAGCACTATATATATATAGTTTCTACTGCGGGGACTTGAAAAATGTCCCCAAAAGCTAAAAAGTAACATGTTCACAGCATATTATGGGGACATCCAGGGGCACATGTGGGGATACACACACACTTTTATTTAACATTAGAAACGTTGCTACATGTCAACACCAAGACAACGTCATCAAAAACATTTCAGTGCTACATTCTGGGAAATTTAACATACCTTATACCAGGTCACTCTCCTGTATTTCAGGCCTGGTTCGGCATTAACTTTACACGGTAAAGTTGTTAGATCATTGAAGTCTGCATCGGCCACCAATATCAAAAGAACGTATGAAACTGTAAAGACAGATAATCGTTTTGAAATTGAGCAATCATTCCACCTGCCATATAGTTGAGATGATCTTCTTACGCAACACTCAAAACATAAATTGGCAATGACCTTGGTTTGTGCATTACTCGAGGCTGGTTGAACCAAGTTCAATCGTATATGTAAGCTATCTTTTATTAGCGCGTACAGTCTACGTCACTAAATAAGAATTTGCATTCATGTATTTATACAGCAGACACTTTTTGGACAAAGCGACTTACGAGGTATTCAGATAACACTAAACGCTAGTCATCAACGACATAGAGTAATGGCGACGTTGTTCTTTCGTTTACTGTTATCTGACATATTGGGGGAAACCCCAAGTGGTTGATTGCGACATATTTTATTATCGTGGAAATTCTGTAAATTGTTTTTTTTCTAAATGTAAAATTCGAGTAGTATTCGAAGAGTTTGTTTTACTTTCGGTTTAATGCGTCGTCATCCGTATGCGAATAAGGTTAATAGTGCGTGCACTCGTACAAAAATAAAGTGCACGAGATTTGCAGACTTACTATACTGGATGTTCAGTGGTATCATGGTTATGCAGATGGAAATTATTTTCTTGTACTGCACACAAATCTGCAGATGCTGTATAGGACGCAGTTCTTGTGCATCCGGAACCACCCTTGTGACCGGAAGGAGAAGTGTTTTTTTAACCGATCTAATCCAATATAACACAGCAACCAGTTTAAGTCGCTTGATTCTTGTAAAAATAAAAACAGGGTTGGGTATAGGCAGTTAAGTAAAAGAAGTGTTTATTTACACAGTCTCAAATACCCGTCAAATACTTAAATAACAGGACAATGCCTATTTAGTGATATAACCCCAAACGATCTTTCTAGCCACATATATTACAACTTTCTGCTTTTTACTTGGATTTCAGAAGTAGAAAGCAATGCATATAGCTATGTCTAAGTATGCCGGGTTTTCAACATCCCATTACTGGCTCAAAAAGAAAGTTCAACCCCTCACACTGAACATCAATACTGATCTAAAGGACAAAACATTATAGTAAAACCAACAGTAGAAAACCTCAATACAAAACAAACCAAAAGTGTCAGAGAATTAGACATGGAAATATTTTTAAAAAAAATTCTATAGAAAACATTTTAACAAGGTGAGATGCTTATACTCAATATGATATTCCTAATATCCTAACTACAGGATTTCTTCAATCACCTCTGGCTGCAACAACCTTACACACGTTTTGGTTGGTCTACTCTCCAATACTCATTAACTTTGGTAATGCTACTAAAGTGAATTCTTAATTCTACTAAAAAAAAAAAAATAGGAGAGTTGGCTTGTATTTTGTGTTTCAAGGTGGCAATTTTGTGTCAATTCAAAACAAAATGCTGCCCAAACCTACCAAAATCCGCCCACTATGAAAAGGTAAGGATCAGAATAGAAGCTGGAGAATCCAGATGACTTGCTGTATCTGACTCGGATAAAAAGTGACCTGATAGAAACACCCTGATACAGGTGTAGGCATAACTACCTATTGAACTGGAATTCATGAAACTGTATTCATCAGGTCCCACAAAGTCACTGCGGTCCAAATCCTTAAATCAAGTTTTCAAAACTCCACTTCATTTTGTCTGTACGTTTTGGGCATCTGTGAGTGGCTCAGATTTACCAAGTTCACAGCTAATCTTTCCAAGTGAATAGACACACAGTATTTGCCTGAAAAGTTTACATCTTTCCACGTGATGCATGGCTGGCAATCATCTTTGGCCACAAAAAAAATGGAAACGGCCACCACACCCACACCTCATGCAGTGGTTTCATATTGCAAAATGGTCAGGAGTGACGATTGAAGTAAGGATGACTGGAAGGCTGGAATCACTACGGGGCACCGCCAGTAACAGGCACAGGAGTCTGCAAGGTGCCGGTGGCAGGAAAGACCGTTGGGCTGGCCAGGGAACCAATGGGAGTGGAGGCCGGCAAGGTGGAGATCCCTGTGGGTAACATGAGCAAAGAATTTTACACAATCTTACTTCACTTAAACAAATATTAGGAAGACCAGAATATGCAGGTCTGTAAGTCACCATACAAGGAACACTTGCAGATTTACTGGGGCCTTTTCTAACCAAACAAACAGGAGAAACGATGAACTTGCCAACAGCAACCTGGTCAAAGCAGGACTGTTCTAACATCACTTCTGTTGTGGTAGCTGAAGATTCAAGTTCATTCACAATCCAAACAAACATTATTCATTAATGTAAAACAGTAATAAATAGGCCGAGGACATCTGTTCTCATAGCTGTTCAATTGTCAGCACATTTGCTAACTTGACACATCAAGAGAAAAACTAAAAACTTGGGATTTAGAATTCAGTACAGACTTGCTTTGGGAAATGGAGCTGAATTCTCCATCTGAATTCCACCCACCGTGACGTGTCACTCAGCTATTGAGCCAATGATACAGTTGTTAGATCACTGAAGTCTGCATCGGCCACCAACAGCAAAAGATATTTGCAGATCTCATCTTTGTTTTGGGACATTAAAAGCCTTTGAGACTGATGCGGCACTAAATGCTGGGGAATTATTTTCTCCTTACGATGAAGTTTGGCATGTTAAACACGCGTCGGGAAATAGCTTGCAGCCTGTAGGCTACTCCGCAGCCATCAATGTTTAAGCGAATTGCCGAAACCATAATGTTTATTTTTATTTTTAGGAAGAATAATTAAATCGTAATTAAACAAAAGAAATACAGCCTTTCCAGCCCCCCCCATTTTTTTCCTTCGGATCTACATAAATTATTATTACCCTTTAGTGCACTCAGTTGACGGAAATCCGTCATAGCGACGGAAAACTTTAATCCATGTGTCCCAGACTTTAGAGCATTTAATACGCGATGATGCCTGATTTGTGACCACCATTCTTCTACCTGTCGCTGAATGCTATTGCGCAAGAGCGAATCTCACCAGTGTAGTGTATTGGTGCAGTCTATTGGAAAGCGATAGTATTGAACAGGTAGAAAGGAAGGAAAACGTCTCACTCCGTTTAAAAATATGTCTGGCGACAATTATCGACAATCAAATTCGTCTGCGACTATTGTTATTGTCGATTTTTGTCGACGATGTGGAATAATCGTTGCACCCCTAGTCGTCAATGACCTAGAGTAATGGCAACGTTGTTCTTTCGTTTACTGTGATCTGACTATTAGGAGAAACCCCAAATGGTTGATTGCGACATTTTAGTATCATGGAGATTTTTGTTCCTGTAAATTATTCCCCCCTCCCCAACATAAAATTCGAGTAGTATTCGAATTTAGTAGGTTTCATTTTACTTTCGGTTTAATGCGTCGAGATCCGTATGCGAATATGTTTAAAAGTGCGTGCACTCGCACAAAAATAAAGTGCACGGGTTTTACAGGCTTACTATACTGGATGTTCAGTGGTGTCATGGTTATGCAGATGGAAGAAATAATTTTCTTGTACCGCACACAAATCTGCAGAAGCTGGAGAGGACGCAGTTCTTGTGCATCTGGAACCACCCTTTTGACCGGAAGGAGAAGTGTTTATTTTAACCGACGTGTTTATTGTTCTTCATTTATGAATGTTTTTTTTAAAAGGCATGTTACTCTAAAAAGCGTTTAAATTTACCTTTATAGTATAACCAACATGTTTTATTATGGTTTACCTGACATGTTTTATTAGATTATCAAATGTATACTCAGCTCAATAGCAATATGTTTTATCGATTATAATCATATATTTATCTTTGAGAATTCTTTCACTGACATCTCAGATTATATATTTTTAACTCGATAGCGACATTTCATTGATTATAACCCTATATTTAACTTCATAGTGATATGTTTAGTTAACCGGCATGATTTTAATAATTATTACCTTGATAAATGGATATTAGGGATTTTGCTTTAGTGATATGCATTTAATTGCAGACCTAATTGTATTACACGTAATCTAATTTTTCAGACACACTGAAGCAGTAGCTCAGATCAACAATGCCTGCTTAAGAGGTCACCTTGTAGGCCTACCAACTACTGAAACCTTCGACATCGATGATAGAAAAGAGCAGCGTTTCCAGCCCACCTGACATCATGTTGGCTGAACGCACGGGAGTATTTCCACTGGACACAGAAGTCATGCCTCCAGATCTACCCTGGTCCTTCACAACAGGATCTGAGAAAACATGAGAACATGAAGAGGCAGTAATTGTGTTAGGATTACAAGACCACACAAGGCTGATCCCTGAAGGTCCCAAACTAATCAATATCTGCCGGCATACGTCTTGTACTCTTCTTAAAAGGGAGCTACTCACAGAAGTAGGCATGGTCCATGGCCTCGCGAGCCGTAAGCCGGGTCTGGTGGTCATACTGCAGGAGCTTGTCCAGGAAGTCCAGGGCCTCAGCACTCACCAGGTGCTGGTTCTCACTGTGGACGAAGCGCTCCCACCTCTTACGAGAGTGCCTGTTGGAAAAAACGTTACAAACCCTGTTCTGAGGAAGCCAAGAAAGTGCACAGTGAGGAGGAGGGAAGGTTTTGTAAAGGAGTTATCTTCAGGAATAATTCTCTTTTAAGGAGGGAGTGTAGGAAGCAAATGTAGGTCAAATCTGGGAACTACCACCCAAGACTCACCTTCCTAAGATGTCATTGAAGCGCGGCTCCAGCTTAATGCTGTACTTATCGATGTAATCATACAGGTCCTCAGTTCCCAGAACCTTTGCTATTCGCACCAGCTGGGGAACAAGAGGAGCATGAGCTCGTCATCGCTTGGCAAAGATGATCACAAACTGGTATTACCCCATTATTTGAGGAGCTTGTCCAAAAAAAAAAAAATTTTTTTTTAATTTTAATAAAATAAAAAAAAAAACACACCATTACATGGGGCAGGAAAGTATGGGCAACCAACCTGGTCATAGTTATCATGGCCATGAAAGAAAGGCTCCTTCCGGAAGATCATGCTGGCCAGCATGCAGCCAAGGCTCCACATGTCCAGACTGTAGTCGTACATCTAGAGTCAACATAAGTGGAATGAATGGTGGCGACAGGAACCCAGAAAACAAGCCAAATGATGTCACATTTTTGAAACTACAGGAGAGCTCTTCACAAGAACAGTCAGCCCAACAAAACAGCTGGTCTATTCACTTATGAGTTCCATCCCAAGAGAGATGGTATGCAAAAAGAGTTCTTAAATACAGGAAGTCTAGAACAACCCCTAGACTCCTAACAAACATTTTCTGTTAAGGCTTGTTCATACATCACTTTTCTGCGTGTTCTTTCGTCCGCTTTCGGACTGCGGATGGTCGTGCACGTAACAGCGTGTGTTAATACTACATTTGGCAGCGGATGCATACAGCAGTGATATTCCACCAGACCAGTGGCCTGTACTACGAAGTGGGGTTACAGGCTTATCGGGGTAACTTGTCGGATTTAAGGTACCACAGTTTAAATGGACTTCATATTCGTTCACTTACATTTTGTCCAGACTACTTTAAATCTGACAAGTTACCCCGATAAGCCAGTAACCCCGCTTCGTAGTACAGGCCACAGAAGAGGTCTGTATTGCAACAGATATAAGCTGTGTAGTGAAACAGGTAAATTTTCATAAATAGTTTTAAAGTTTAGTGAAGACTTGGGCTAGTATTAAAGTAATAAGGTATACCATGGTATTTTGAAATACTTACAACAAAATTAGCTGGGTCACCTCCCCACCACCTCTATCCTTCTGCAGCTCAGTCCATTGAGCCAGCAGAACCTAACTCACCTGGTAATCCACCAGCAGCTCCGGACCTTTGAAGTAGCGGGAGGCCACTCTGACATTGTACTCCTGCCCAGGGTGGTAGAACTCAGCTAGACCCCAATCGATAAGCCGTAACTGCAAGGGGAAAGCAGGCGTGTTCCAGGCGTGCAAAGGATCAGCGGGTACGGAGGCGGGAGTGGTGGAGTACCTTCCGGTGCTCGTGGTCGATCATCACGTTGTGTGGCTTGACATCCCTGTGCATGATGCCCATGCTGTGGCAGTAATCCAGAGCCTACAGAAAAGTCAGTCATGAAGCAAGCTCAGGTGTGCATAAAAATACAACTTACAAAAAAAAACCATGGATTGAAAAAAAACAGGTCAGCTCTCACCTTCAGGATTTCGTACATGTAGAACCGTATGTCAAAATCTGTCAGGGTCTGGTACAATTGCTGTTAAGCATACATTAAGACAAAATACAATGAAAAACTCCTTAATCAAAACATTCACCTAATTAAGTTTTACATAGAACTCTTTACTCAGCTTTTGCTTGCAGTGTTTAAAATTTCTCCACCATTTCTGCTAGATCTTTCAGCATGTTCGGACTGCAGAATATACCAGCTTTGCACAGTACAAACAAACACGTCAACATTCACATGCAGGTCACAGCTAGTGCCGGTTAATGACAGACGTAACGGATAGGGCTGGGAGAACACAGACATTATTACTCTCTCAGGAATGGCAGGAAACACCACCACAAAATAAGGCTTCAGTTTGCATGCCACTTTTGCACTTGTCTCAGGGTATTTTGTGACTCAACAAGCACAGCAGTGGCCAGGTTTAAGAAATAAGGCAGTTTCACAAGATGGATCTGGAGCGTCGTTACCTTGAAATCTGTGTTATTTACATGCTCGAAAACCAAAGCAGGGGTCCGGGACTGTAAAGTGAAAAGAGAAGGAGTTAAAACAGATTCTAGATGGACACACAAACCACATTAAATAAGCAACTCACCACTGGATCTTTCACGATGTCTGCCAGTGCGATCAGATTGGGTCCTCCTCGGAGGTTCTCCAAAATCTTAATCTCGCGCTTGATTTTCTTCTTCTTCACCGGCTGCGGAGTCACATTTAGTCAAAGGTCACCGTGAGCCTAGAAGAAAGCCTAGATCCCCTCGCTGGGGCTTCACATGAGAATAAGCGGCACCCATATACAAACAATGGCAACAGCACAGTGCTGCAGTTTCACAGCAGTCTGAATGAGTCACCTGATCTAACAACTGAAGGTGGACCCAAGTGCTTCAGCAAACTGACATGTATTAGTCATTTGAAACAAAATAGAATCACCTTGGCAACAGGAAAAAAAAAAAATCTCCTTCAACAAGGCAATTTTTTTGCAGTCTGCTTCAAGCATGTCTTTTTCATCTATGACTGATTCCAGTACACGGGTATATTTTAAAATGGTGTTTTCTTTCTCCGTTTAAAAAATATCCCCGTCCACACAAACAGTCTTCTAAAAAATTTCCGTCCACATGAAACCGCTAAAATGCGCTGTCAAAAGCATGCCAAACCAACAGGCGGCATTATAACTCTAACCGTACTGCCATGCTAGCCAATCAGAAGCCTAATTGCCAGTCCTGTTAAGTTGAAAACCATGGCGCACATTCCGACGCCTGTGTTGATCAATATAATGCGAGAGTGACTCAACATTTATCTGTACACATGTAAGAAGTCCTGTCAGCAAGGTTAGCACAAGCACTATTTCAGCTAAATCTGCCATTGCGCTGTACATTAGGCGAGTTTGAGCAAACAGCGCATGCTCTGACGTTAAACAAAAGTGGACAACGGCACACAATCTGACGTTTCGAGCCAAAAACTCTGTTTTCCCTGTCTACATGTCCACGCTGAAAACGGAGTTTCTTAAAATCTTGGATGGAGTTTTGCAAAAGCTCCATTTTCAGTGACCTGAGACGCCGTTTACGTGTGGACAAAAGCCCAAGACGTATAGAAAAAGGTACGTTTTAAAATTTACCCGTGTACGTGTGGACAAGGCATCAGTCTGTGGGAAAGCAAAATGTAAAGTTCCTTTGCAATTCATGCTGCCTTAAAGTTGAGCAAAATCTGTTTAAAATAAGTAAAGATGGCTCAGTAGGTATTGTTCAGTGTTATACTAAAGGAGAGAAAAACCACAGTTTGCCCTACAGAGAATTCACAATTCAGCAGCAGAAAGCACATGCAAAAGAGACAAGGTGCTCTGCTGCACGCAAACTTCTACCTCACTTACTTCCTTAAATTCTTTCCACTTAAGATCATTCGAGCGTGAAGCCGCTGCACTGTGTCAACCATTGCAAAAGCCATTAGATTATTGAATGCAAGTCTTTCTGTAACTGTGCTGTCAGTAAAACCTTTGGCTGTAGTAACTCCTAATGTCGAGGGCAGTCTACCAGCCGCCAAAAAGGATTCAAGGCGTTTATTGTCATACGTACAGTAGAAAAGTGCATTTCTCTGTGCAATGAAATTCTTACTTTGCTGTCCACACAAAAATGCCAAGGTACAATATAATAGAAAAAGAGAGAAAAATAAATACTTAAGTGTAATGTGCAAAAGAGCTTAATGTGCAAAAACTTACAGTATGAGGTAGTATTGTATGGTAGTATGATGTCCATTAAAATATGTTTTACAAAGAACTAATTCTAGCATATATCACCTTATTTTTAGCAAACTTTGGAAAACCACTACCGGGGTGCTACACTGCTGTCCCATGTCTTGGCCAACCTATCAAATCACAGGGTTAGCACAGACTTGCATCTCCTTCATGTCTGAATGCCCCAGAGCCTGGGGCAGACATCAACTGAGCCTGCCATCTCAAACTCACAGCTCAGACACAGCAAGGTCATAGGCAGGCCTGCTGACATTCACTGGCTGTCCTAACAGACACCTGAACAAAAGTTCACCAGCACACTCCCAATGTTAGTTTAAACACATATGCATCAGAACCCGGCTTATATGTTTTTATGGCTATGGGCGTACAGCCAGGCAGCAGCTGACTACATTGACTTGAGGGAAGTGTAAACAACTGGTACAAAAATATTCAGCGTAAACTTGTATCTCAATTTTTTTCTTATAAAAATAAAGGTTTAGTCTTACTCTTTTTTTTAACCAACCCTTGTTAAATTCCACTGAAATCCAACAATTTTTCAGTTTGGTCCAACCAAAAATATTGGCCTATTTCAGCCTCAATTTTGTCACAGAAGCCTGCAAAAATGCCACTAAATTTCATCGTGTATCTCAGGTCTTTAGTATCAAAACTAAAATTTTGACTCATCACATCTAATCTAATCTTTTCAGTTTTCACCTGCTGGTACATAGGAAGACAGAAACCTGCCATTTCAGTTAAGGGCTTTCAGTCAGCTATGCACAGAAAAGCATGGGGGGAGAAATTAATGCACAGCAAAAGGGCTCTAAAATAGCGTTTCTCAACACGGTCCTCTGCGACCCCCAGACATTTTTGACCCCCCCCAGCTCCTGGAGCAAACATATGGACTGTCTGGGGTCTTCAAGACCAGGGTGGGAAACACAGCTCTGAAGCACCAACATTTTCAAACCTACCTTGAGTATTTTGACCACCACTTTCTCGTTATTCGTGATGTTAATGGCTTCAAAGACCTCACTGTACTTTCCACGGCCCAACTTCCGCACCAGCTGGTAGTCATCTTGGTTTCTGTCATCAAAACAAACATTTCAAGCATTCCATGTGTTGAAAGAAAAAACAAGCTAAAAACAAGAAGAAACCATGTTCCCCCTCTATTGAAAATGTACAATATAGAATAATATATATGAAGTGAAAAGCGTCCAGAAATCAAATCTAAACTAACAATGTTTTACATTTGTACAAGGGGTGAATGCAGCCATTCAATTCCTGTCTTTATGCAAATTGCAACAAATTCAACATGGTAGTCTGATACGGGGCAAAAAGGTTGCTACAATGCTACAAAGCAAATGCTGCATAAACCTGTTATATTATCGCTTTAGCTTATGATTTTCCTATGGATTTCACTGTTGACCCTAAGAGCCACTAGGTCACTCACCAGGGACCTATCAAGATGAAAATCCCCCCCATTTCACACAGCGCTGCTGCTGCATGACTGGGTAGGTCTATTCCCTCACTTACCCCCATTCGACCACATGAGATTCGTAATCCCAGTACCCTCGAGGCTGATGCGTGTTCACTTCCGTGTACACTCTTGCCCGACTTGAAACAGGTCCCGACATGTTTGCCGGGCTGGGCGCACAGTGGAGGAGAGGCCAGGCGGGGCAGGGAGCTCACAGGAGGGAAAGGAGGAGGGAGGGAAGAAGGGGAGGAGGGGGGGAGGAGGGACTGTTGTGGGGTGTGAGTTGGATCTCCTGTCCAACTTAAAAAAGGGGGGCAATTAAAAAAAGGAAATTAATACAAAGTTAAAACAGCAACTAAAATCCAGCAACTAAAATCCGGTTCATTACTACATAATTTTTTTAAAAGCATAAAATATTCATCCAAATGCCAGGAGGGTATGAGAACACGTCAAAACTGATTCACGTGATAAGGGGCAAACGATCCCTATGGTAAATAAGGCGGACATGTACAGCACCACACAGCCAACGTTAGACTGCATTACATAAAAAAAGAAAAGCCCAGATATCGCGGCTAACTTTTGCTCTTAACACCTATTTAAATAAATTTAGGCCAGTCAAAAAAGGCTGCGTAATTCAACTCATATGACAACTTTATCTATTCTGCCAACTCAGACCTCGTTACCACTAACAAGCTAATCAAAAGCGACTATTTCAAACAGATTTCAGTCTAATTATTACGCTAAACCCGGAAAAGCAAATTATCTAGGCAGGCAAGCTTACACACAGGTGCCAGTCATCGGGAAAAGCATAAGCGCTGGTTTTACCAGATACCCCAGCAGCGGGGGGAGAGGCATCACGACCAAGTACATGACAATTCATCCACTTAACACATTTTATACATTGACCCCTTTAAGAAATCCCCCCTTTTAAATTCTCCCTCGAAAATGACTGCTCCTGCAGTACAGCGCCCGGCTAATACCTGCTCAGCACAGCCCCCAATTTCCCACTTCACGCTCTTATGATGCTGCCTCTCGCTGTTCCTCACGCGCACTGGTAGCGCACAGCCTTACGCAACCACCGCTAGGAACCGGAAGTCTCCTTCATTCTTCTACTTGCTGTTTTATGGCAGCTGGCAAACAACTATTTGGTGCATTACCGCCACCAACCGGCAGGGAGTGTGAATCAGACAGTCAAACTCAAAAAAAAAAAACCCTTAAATTTTATCCAACCCAGTTGCCCTCAAATACTGAAAAATAAACTTAAAACACACATCGGCAGGGCTTTTCCGTAATATATTCATAAGTGAGTACTGCTCTATTTCCAGTTCAAGACTCCGCATTAATTCTGTCCTTTCTGTATGGTACTTCCGCTACAATTAATCATTACATGTTCCACTGTTTCACTGTCTCCACAGAATTCACACCGTCCTGTGTCATGTTTCCCCATTATGTGTAATGTAGCATTAAGTTTGGGAGTGTCCCAGCCGTAGTCTAGTTATTATGCTTTCTTGTATTCTTCTTCCAGTACTTCTTCCAACTTCTCCTACCTTCCTTTGAATTCCGTAGAACCATCTACCTTTCACATCACCGACCCACTGTTTTTGCCAATTTTCTTTAACTTTCCTTTTGATAATACTTTTAACCTCTGATTTACTATAGGAGACTGTCATGTCGATATTATTCTGTTTTGCTGTTTCTTTGGCCTTCATATCTGCCATTTCATTTCCTTCCACCCCTATATGTGCAGGTACCCAGAGAAACACGACTACCAATCCCATCATCTGAATGTGATATACAGTAGTACTTGTTGAATTTCTATTACAATATCAGGACGGCTGTCTGAATGATGTCTTAGTAAACTAACTAATGATGAACTGGAATTTGAGCACTCCACGGTTCGTAATTGTCTGGTCTCCTCAATCCATTCTACCGAAAGTAGCAATGCAATCATTTCTGCTGTGTAGACAGATAGTCCTTCATTTAGTTTCCTTCCTATTTTAATTTTGAATTCTGGAATTACAACTGCCACTCCCGTCTGACCCGACGGACTCCGGGATGCATCAGTGTAAACTTTTATATAATCATAAAAATTAAGTCTCCTTCATGCCTCACGGCGAGATCTTTATATTCTGAGCGCCAAACGTGGACAGCGATTGGCCGAGCCGAGCTCCACCTCCGCGTAAAACAACGGCCTATATTTCACTTTGCCCGATATACGTCTGTTAGATTCCCAGTATAGACACATATACTACTACCGGTACTGCAAACCTGACCAGGAAAAGCGGTCTGCAGCACATACCATTAGTATATTTTAGTACTGTATATTTGCCATAAAGGCAGTTACGTAATGAATGACGTGAGGATGTGTAGTCGATGACAAATTCCTTCTAGTGACCCGCGATTTCTATAGCAGCGCCTCATTGTGGTGGGTGGAGTTAATAATTATAAGTCGTTTACGTGAGACGCCTCTAGATGGCGCAACCTCATTACGCACCCGTTTAAATTTCTGCAAACGCAAGGGGCTTGGAGCGTCGTGGGTAAATGATGACGATAAACCGCTCGGCTGACCTTATGCCCTTTTTACTGTCATGCATTTCGTTGTAGGAAATCGATTACCATTCACTTAGGTCTGCAAAATTTCACACACACACACACACACACACACATATGTAGGGTAAACATATCCTTATGGGGACCGCTCATTCATTTCAATGGGAAAAATGCTAACGCTAACTATGACAACCTTAACCCCTACCCAGCCCTAACCATAACCATAAGTAACCAAACAAAATACAAGAGTTTTTGCATTTTTAGTTTTTTCATAGCAGTCACCAATTTTTATAAAATAGAGTATTATAAAAACTAATATTTATCACCTTATGGTTACATTGTGTCCTCATAAGGATAGGTAAACCCGCTCACACACACACACACACACACACACAGAGTTGTGTAATCATATCGTTTTGGGGAACGCTCATTCATTTCTGTGTGGAAAAATGCTAATGCTAACTATGTAACCTTAACTCGTATCCAGCCCTAACCATAATCATAAGTAACCAAACAAAATACAAGAGTTTTTGCATTTTTAGTTTTTTCATTACAGTCACAGATTTTTATAAAATAGAGTTTTCCCATATGGGGACCAGGAAACCAGTCCCCATAAGATAAAAAAATGGGTATTCATTAGGTATGGTATACCTGGACCACACACACACACACACACGTTGGCATATGTATCTAAATGGCACCCTTAACCCCTACTCAGCCCTAACCTTAACTAACCTTATCTAAACAAAATACAAGTTTTTTGGAATTTTTCCTTTTTTGATTGCGTTCACAGATTTTTAAAATTGAGGTTATCCAAATGGGGACCTGAAAAATGTCCACAAAAATAAGGAAGTTTCAGGATTTACCACACTTTTTGGTCCCCAAATGTGATCTATGCAAACTTACACTCACTCTCTCTCTCTCTCTCTCACACACACACACACAGACACACACACACACACAGGGGTTCTGTAAAGGGGGTGGGCATTTAAGATGATTCCAAGGGGCCCTAAAAAATCTGGAACATAATTGGATTGGTCTGGGTTGGGGGCCCAGTGTGATAGGCTGTCATGGGGCCCAAAATCTCTGGTAGCACCCCTGCACACACACACACACACATATAATGTATACATACAATATTACATGTATCAGTCACATTAGTTACTGAAGTAAATTAACATCAACACTTCACATGACTTCAGGATGATATTTTTCATGCAGTTACTGAGTTTCATGTTGTCAACCATTTTGGGTATTGTTAAGTAATACTTTTCACCAAACTCATTTATCGAGACTTACCCCTTTCCACTTATTTGCTGTAATCCCTGCACATCTGTCAAGGTTTTTTTGACACTTTTTCGGACCGCTTTCCAGTACAAACAATCTACCATTTGTCTTCTGGGCACCCTTCCCGCCAAACCCTAACCCTTGACACCCCAAGTGTCAGCTCGTTGCTCCACAGCTCCCCTTTCATCACTTGAAGCTTCTCCTCTGCCTTCCTGTCTTGACCTGAACCCTTGAGGGTCTTTTTGGACACAACCTCACCGCTGTCTGCATGGCTTCTGTCCAAACCCACCTTCTTTGGTTGCAGGTCACCCATCCTTCCGCAAAAGTGACGGTTGTCTCTTGCCCTCAGTGATCATTATAGCAGTACAGCTGTGTTCACTGCGCCGGATTATGAGATTTTCACAGACTACTCTCTGGTTTCTTGGATGTTAAGGATCTTCAAAGACTCCCTGCATGGATTCCATCATCTTGGGACATGATACCCTGTCTCTTTGGGAAATTTCTTGTCCTGCAGCCAGAAGCTACAAAGCCAAGATAGAACCCAACAATAATTAATTTCTTAGAATTATTGGTACCACGTTACAATAAGGCTCCCTTTTGCCACTTGTAAATGGTAGTAACTCATTAATAAAAAGAAAACTGTTATAAGTTGTTTAAAATTGTCTATTGATCATTTACAAAAGTGTTACAACCTAATTAATAACCAGATTATAAACCATTCATAAACCTTTTATATGGATAGCCTTATTGTAAAATGGCACCAAATTATTTTAATCTTAAATAAGCTCATAAAACAAGCTGCAAATGTATCGACTACCAGAGCACAACTTACTTAACCGAGCCAGTTGAGGGTAGCCAAAAATCCCTCCAGGGAGTTTTTGTTTTATTTTATTTTATGTTATTTTATTTATTTTCTTGGCTAAAATGCCTCTCTAAAGTCACTTACTAACATTAACTAGAGTGTTATTGGCAGCAAAATGAACAATTACATCTTAAACAAGTCAGAGGGCATGTCGAAAGACTTTAACAAACTCTGCCCCTTAGTTTGAAGTCTATATAAACTCTCTCTACGCAAAAACCACTGCTCCTTTTTTGTGTTGCTCCCCAACCAGTCAAATATTTGGGTTGTCTAATTTAACTAATTAAATGTGTGATATTAGTCACTATAATTTGAAACTCTATGAAGATCTTCGTCAAGACTATTTGCAAAGAAATACCACAGAAAGGTCTGAACCTTTTTCTACCTGTGGTTGCCCAATTCTTGTAATTCTAACGTCCTCCTAGTGGTTGCTATTAATTCAATTTAAATTTTGTGAACTTTTCGAAGAGGTCATCCAAATGAGTTGTGTCTTTGGTTATAAAGTACACCAAAATTAATTTACCTTACACCTTATACATTTAGTAATATACTTTAGTAATAGATCTTGATGATTTCTAAATGCCATACCATGGCTGATCAGTCTATAGTCAAGAAGTTCCTTTTAGTCTCAGCTACTTGGAAAGCAATCCCTTCCTGTTATTTTCATCCAAAAGGGCCTTCCCATTGTCTCTGTGAGCTGCAGTACATGCATCTGTCAGTCCTGTTAACAAAAGGAGCTCTACAGTTATTAATAGGAGGCTGCAAGAATGGAAAGGGGAGGAGGGCAGTCATTGGACAGATCCAGCTGGGTTTCACAATATGGAAGAGAGTGTGGATGACGAATTAAAATTGATAGTGATGTCCTTTAAAAGATCCCAGTGTTTGTTTTATCAGATTCTGAGTAATGAACTGTACAATATCAGAAAATCCTTTATGTACAGCTTTGATGCATGTAAAATGTCAGTATTTTGTACCAAAAACCCAGGGATATTGTGAAATAATCAGTAATTGTTCTGAGAGCAGTATTTTGTTTTTGACACAGGACATGATACCAACATATTTATGGATCTGATGGCTGTGCAACATGTCTAGAATCCATCTCAACTTTGTACACGGCTTATGAAAAAAAATGCTGACACTTTTCATTAAAAGCTGACCCGTGTTAAGCATTAAACCTCACTTTTTGTGGCATACCAGAATTCCAGTGGTGCTAAGGACCCGAATCTGTTAGGTCTTGGTCACGGTGACTCACAGGTTGTTTCTAGCCTCTTGGGAGCCTGACAAACTTATTTGACTCATTTGCTTTGGAAGCCATGTCAGCATTTGCGAGCCAAATGGGGCCTTGGCGATGATTTCTGGGTAAATTTGCCGCAGGACGTCCGAGGCATATCCCCTGTATAGGAAGGCTGTTCAGCAGTAACCTAGTGAGGTACAGTGAGCTGTGGTTTCCCTGTACTGGGGCG